TCAAACAAAAAATGAATATTTTATGTTCATATTAGAACATGTCGTTAGAAATTTCTAAGAAAATTGAACTACTCAGATTAAAGCAATAGGTGAATTTGAGTGCTTAGATCGAACATCTTCGATAGGAATCGAATCGTCAGTCGGTGTTTACTTATCCCACGATACGGGTTTCGATCTCGTTTCAATTTGTAACGAGGAGGGGGACGAATTGGAGAGCGGGGGCAAGTCCACATCGACCTATCGGAATGTTCGGGCTGGGACCCAAAGAAAACTTATAAAAACCGCGCGAAAAAAGGATGTGACGTTCTTGTTTTTTGGTTCGCACTGCTCCTCTCCAAGATTCTTGTCATCCGGACCTTCTCCCACGAGAGCTTGTTAGATAGTCGGGGGACTTGTCTTCACCCCCGTGCCATCAAGATCGCTAAAGTCTACTTTGTAGCTAGAAGACCTCGGTCCAAGTAGTGTTGTGCACCCCGGAGCCGACGTCTTCACGCCACCATCACCGGAAGAAAAACTACCGTCAGAACAGTTGAACTTTTTTGTGTTACGGACTTGTTTCTCGACTTTGGATAGGTGTTACTCCTTTTTAATGATTTGTTGTGAGAGAAATTTTTATGTTTATTAAACGGTTTACGATGGAGAACCTGTCTCAGTGAGTTTCTCCACTCCCACACGACAGTGCTGACCGCTCGATTGTCGTAACACTTTCTCCCCAATCGGCAAACCTCAATAAGCTTGCCGACCTGGTGAAGATTGGGGACTTAAAATCCCACTTCTCGGACACCACTGTAAGTTCGCCGACTAGGGAGGGAGTTTTTATTCCCTACCGTCGGGATGGCTGAAGGTCTATTCGTATGTGATTGGCGATTTTTTGAGGAGCCAGGAAAGACAAGTGTTTCACAAAGAAACCGTTTATTTTTGACGAATATGCTTACGTAAAAGTATCAAGATCCTGGGGTTCAGAGTTCTGTGAGTTGTGTTCAGAAGTTCCTTTCTTTTCGTTTTGGTCCAACGCTGACAGTGCTCCGGGCGGCGACACTTTAATGTTCGTAATCGGGAGAAACAACACAAAAAAAAAAAAGATGAACGGACGTACGACGAGCAGAGAGTGAACGAACACCAGAGGTAGACTAGAGGAGGCCATCTTCTGTCCTTGACGTCAGACTTTTTATAAGTTTTTCGTGACAGAATTCGTCGCTAATTTGACGGACTTTTCTTCCGCGCTTTCTAATTGGTCTTCCACCTGTCTCCATATGTAAATGGTGCTCCTGTCAGTCGCGGGAAACGTCGGCTAGAGATGGTGTATTCGACACCTTTTAGACTCTGATCGCGTTTAATCGATGACTATGGACCCACACTCATTCAGATATTTTTCTAGTTTCGTTTTGCTTTCTAAACTGCGTCTTAATGTTTTAAATTTTAAATTCTCTTTTTGTTGAATTTTTCCGTCCGATAGCGGGATTATTATTAAACAAATCAAAGCCAAGTCTGTCCAAGAGGGATCACCATTTATTTTGCATTCCAGACTACACATACACGTCCCTCTTGGACAGACTTGTCTTTGATTTGTTTAAATTCTCTTTTTAAATTTTCTTTAATCGAAATTTTGCTTATTCCGTTATTCTCTATGAGGGTCGACGTCAAAGTCCGGTGTCGCCGATTCGACACTTTTACAACTTGTTTTCTTTACTGTTAACCTTAACAAATTTTATCTTTTTTTTCTTTTTGTTAACGCTATTCCCGGGCCTCACAATTGTAAGAACTTTTATTTCGGAGTTTATCGTTTGGAATTCCGTAAAGCTGTGAGGTTTTGATTAGTATAATTTCGTACAATAGTTGAGTGTCAAGGAGTACGCCATCGTCTGACTTTGGACCCAAATCTTAGGCTCGTTGATATAGTTAAGTGATTGATATGACATTGATTGGTACAGGATTAGTATATATTCAGGGGCGGCCCTAGGGCGGTGCGAACGGTGCGACCGCACCGGGCGCCGTCATAGTGAAGGCGCCGAAAATGCAACGATAGATCGTCTGTGAAAACAATAAAACCCGATTACCTTATTACTACTTAACCCTATCCGCCAAAATATATTTTATTTTTTTTATTTGTTTTTTGAAACCGTGTCCTGTTTTATAATTCTGGCGTAGTAAACACTAGTATTGTGTTGTATTTCAAAGACACATTGCAAGTTTTTCTATCAAATATCTTTATTAGTTGAGTCGGCTCAACTAATAAAGATATTTGATAGAAAACTTGCCATGTGTCTTTGAAATACAACACAATACTAGTGTTTACTACGCCAGAATTTATTTATTTTTCCTAATTTGTTTTAATTTTAAATTAATTTACGATGTAAATTTGTCTTTTGCGTGATGTGAGCGTTGTCTGTGCCATAGCAGTTTAAATAAATATTGTTATGAATATCGCCTTATGAAAGAAATTGAATAAATATTGCCTTGTGAAAGAAATATTGTTTTTTTCACTGTTATTGTTTCTCATACATACTAGTACTATGCTATAGATTTTACACAAGAGTGAGCTGGGTTGTGAGAATATAAAATATGATCCTGAAATGTGTGCTATATCTCCATAACCTAAAATTAAGAGGCCGGATGACCGAGCGGTCAAGCTCTGGGGACCTGGGATCAAATCCGGACAGTTCAAGAAATCCCCAGGAATTTTTCCACTGGTGGTCCGTTTTGATATGTCGGGCCCCGTCCCACACCACTCGGTTGCCCCATAATGGGCCTGCTATAAGATGCCCTCTTAGTACCCACAGGGCGGGAAAAGTAAAAAAAAAAAACAACCTAAAATTAGGAGATTCCATCGACAGCGGGGAGGAAAAAATGTCAACAGCTTGCGATACGTCTGAATTAACAAGGCTCAAGTTAACTCTCCATTTACCGTCGTTATCGTTTCTCATCCATAGTATTACTATACTAATCTTTTAGTGGTCTGAGTTATTAATAATGTGAAAAATGTATGTTCTCAGTTTTTTCTCTACAGTGGGGGGCGCCACAATGAGATCTCGCATCACCTGAAAACCTGGCTAGGGCCGCCACTGTATATATTAAACGATGGATTTATGATTTAATGCATCAATCGGCACGAATTTCATTAATTGAAGGTTCTACGTTTTTTCTGTATCGTTGCAACACATCTTCACAAACATCACTTGCATTGATCGCTTAGTTCCGGTATCTTTGTCATTTGTTAAACATGTCACCGCCGTTATAAACAGTTTGGGTAGCTTATCTTCGCTGTAGTAGTAGTTAAACGTATGATTTTTAATTTACCATCGCAGCATGACTATACCTAGCATGACTTCTGCGATGCTGAACACTGTTCAGCCTTTATTCATTCATATCGGACGGTGCATATAAGCTATTGATTAGTATTTGGAATTGTTCAAAGATGGAAAGCTAATATCGAATTATTTAAATAGAGTTTACTGTGTAAAATCATAGTAATTTTGAAACAAAAATGGGATTTAATAATTCATGTAGGCTAATTCACTTTTAATATTTCGTAATTGAGTCGAAACGTTAGTAAAGCCTCTTTCTTGAGGCTTACAGAATTGTGTTCGTTCTCAAAATTCATTCGATCGATTTTGATTAAACTTTGCAATTTTCCATTAATTGAGATGAAAAATTCAAACATGTACTAAAAAATGATGGTTCATGACTTCGTTTTCCAAAATAAGGCTGTTTAAAGATGGCACGCGATAAAGCGACATCGCGCGATTTTGTAGCTATATTGCTTTATCCGATTTTTATTCGGTTTTTGTAAAACTTTGCTAATTTCCATTAATTGAGACAAGAAATCTAGAAATGTAACGTGTGTCCATTTAAATGTAAAACTTCAGGAACGAATTGCTTAACTTTCCTGGCTACATTTAAAATTTTGGCGGCGTCATCTGTTACAAAAATTTTTTATATTGTTAACTATGATAAAATTGCGGTAAGCTTAATTTTGAAGATAGGGACGGGTTTTATAAAAAATTGTAAATGCTAAAATCGTCATTAAGTCCGACCGTACTCGAGATATGACACACGATTCCCTTTATCATCTTACCCCATCGACCTTTAATAACCACAACTGAATATCATCAACTTCCTTAGCTAATATACAAACCTCCCTGCAAAATTTCAGAAAATTTCGACAAAAATCACAGAAGTTATTAAGTTTCAAATGGGGTGAACAAAATTGTGCCTCCCCACACACTATCATCCATATATACAGAACAAAAACCCGACTTTTTGAGTTTTATCCACGTTTTAAGGTCCCCGTGTCCAAAAATGTAGATAATTTTGAGGGGTCATTGTTTTGATTCCCTTTCCCTCTGTTGTATTAATATATAACAGACCAGAAAAGTGAAATTAAGAGTCCATGACTTCGTTTCCGATATAGCCTACAAAGATATTAAAGCAACAATGTCCGTGGTCTCTGATGTGACTGAGCGCGCCTAACGGAATTTAGGCCTAGGGGTTAAAAATAAAATTGGCATTGCGAGCTTAAGGGAACATAGCGTGAAAAACGAACAAAGCAATCACCATCGATTGCTTTGTTCTTGGATCGCCTTCCCGTGTCTGCAAGTGCAGAGATCGCTTCTTTCTTTCCGGCTCCGCCTCAATATCGCGATATGATAGTCACGCGATGTCCTAGTTAAACGTAATAATTCCAACAATTGTTTTGATATTTATTATTAAATTAATAAAAGAAACAATATTTATCGAAGACAATGAAGATATGACGTCGGGCATTGTAAAAACTTTTATTTTAGAGTCCATCGTTTAGAATTTCCAGGCTATGAGGTTTCGATTGGTGTAATTTCGTACAACACTTGATTGCCAAGGAGTGCGTCATCATGATGTGTGACCCCAAATAAAATCCAAGGCTTTTTGATTCAGTTACGTGATTGATACAGGATTGTTAAGTATTTAGCAATAGATGTGTCGTTTAAGGCACTAATTTCATCAATTTCTTCTGTTTCAATGCCACACATCCTCACAAAATCCCTCGCGATAACATTGACAATTGAACCATTATCTAATTTGTTCGCCTCATCCATTCATTTACATATCAAGCACCATTGCTGTAAATACTTCCTCTCCCAGGTCCTCGTCACTCATGATGTCGAGTGGTAGCTAAAGAGGCTCTGAACACACTATCAGTTTTTCTGCTTATAACGTTTAAATCTAATGCTAAAGCTTACACAGATAGTTTTTTAAGGATACGTTGATTGAAAAGAATGGGCATTTCACTTAAACTGACTAAGAATGACAAACTTCTGCAGATAGAAATAATCTAATAACTGATAACTGATCTTATTTTATTAATGATTTTGTGTAAAATTATTGAAAGATTACAATATTAAAAAAGTTTTATTTTTTATATACTTTTATAGTGTTTCAATATTTTATGGTTACTATACATTGCTAAAATTATCTGTTAAATTTAATATAGATATACAATCTCAGCATATCGCTTATTTCCTTTTTTTAAATTTATTTTTACAGTAAAATTTCTTTTACTTTAAAAATAATATTTATTATGGAAATATTTACACTTATGAACATGAAAAGTTTATTTTATATAATAGAGGTGCCGTTAGTTCAAAAAAATCATCACGATTTATCACAGTTAATGACTGCAATTACTAAATTTCCTCTTGAGTAAAAACTAACTTTTTTTTTTTATTTTAAAAGTATGCATATTGCTTTAGGTGTTGGACGGAAGGATGATTACAAAATTCTTTGGTTTATTCATTGTGCGTGGTTCCATAACTGATGGTTTTGACAGTTTGAACGGGGGTAATTTTCAACTTCTCCTTTTTCCTACAAAATTTATACAAATATTAGAAAATATTATTATTTATTATATTTATCTTAATAAAACTAAATATATATATAACATATATAACTCCACTCAAATAGAATATATTAAAACCAACACTTAAAAGCATTCAACTTAATACAATACAGTTGAACAAAACTTTACTATTTTTACTTTCCCAGCTTGTTACATATATAACACGGGAAAGTATTGTAATCGTGTCAAATTTGACCCTTTGACTTTTTTGCGAATCTCCACGTTTTGAGACCCCTAAACCCCCAAAAAAGGTAAACAAAAATTCAGCAACGACTTACTTAACTTTCCCGGCAACATTTAAAATTTTGGTGGCGAATCATTATACTCGAATCATTAATTTAGTGTATTTTACTACTTGAAATGCTTATAAAAAGAATTTTAAATCGTTGTTGTCATATAAATAACAAATTTTTAATGAATTATTCATGCAGTTAACGAGTATTATTTTTTTCTGCTTTGGTGATTTTAACCTGTGATTTTTATGAAAGTAATGAAGGAAATGAACGTTTTTAATTATTTATTATATAACTTATTATGTAATATTAAATTATGAGTACTTACTTGCTGAATATATTAGAAAAGTTACTAGTTAACATCTCACTTTCTTCTATGGTTTGTGGCAGATGTTTACCTTTTGTTTCTGGTAGCCACAAAGTCAATATTGCCGACAGGAAACTGATAATTCCAACAACAATTAAGGGCAACATATGAGATATTGATGACTAAAGAAAATAAAAAGACAATTTTATGTATTAAATTTGTATTTGTATGTAGTTATGTTATATATAATTAACATACCAACATGAAAAGGTAGGGTGAACCTATGCTAGCAGCACTTGCTACCAGTGACGAAGCTGAGAGGGCGGAATTTCGTAATACAGTAGGAAACAATTCCGAACCATAAACGTAAACGATGGCCCATGCCCCAGCAATACAGAATTTTCCAATATTTGTTAAAGTAACGATGAGCCATACGTAATCTATCAAGAATACTTAACATATCAGTAAAATGTAGTCGATTTTAAGGTAAGTAAAGGTAAGTAAGGGAGAAAAACGGTTTAAAAATATATACTTGACACATTATTCTATGATATTTTAATGTAGGATAAGAATAAAAATAAAGTTTTATTAGATATTAAACGTGGAATCAATTTCTTAAATCATGATATTTGTTTTGTCATGTTATTTTTTAATTGTAAAACTGCATTTCATTTCATGCATTTCAGTATATTTAAATATTTATAATTATTAAAATTTTAAAATTTTTCATACACAGTAATTGTACACGTGTATGAATACAGTACGACAGAATTTTTAATCGAGTTACCCCATGTGAAAACCTATTAACCAGCCTTTATAAGATAGTCTTAAGGTACAGTACGTTCAGAAGACGAACATGGTTCAATAGCTGAGCCATGTTCAGTATCGCAGAATTCTTACTAAGTTATGCTGCGATGTTAAACTCTCGTTCAGCTATTATTCGAGTCCTCCCACTGCTAGAAGTCTAACCATAGAAGAGTTGACTTTAACTTTGTACCACTGTGAAAGTTATGGATCGTTGAACACTAATAACTAGGCTAATTCACGACAAAATATAGTCGGAAGGAAGGCGTAACATGTCACACACGCCCTTAATTACTATTACAAAATTATTATTATTATTATTATGTATTATACTAATAAATTTGTTAAAAGGATGCTGGTAATAGTTCAAAGTTATGATGAACTGAACCGTAGTTTAGTCAGCTTGTTTTGTCTGGTGGTATGATTTGCAAAATGGCAACTCATGTTGGGCTATATGTGTATTTTTTTTTAACGTTTATGAAATTATAATTACGTCATTCAACATTTTTACACATAATCAATCTAACTTACTAACTCAGCACACCTTCAGAACACTTCGTTAATTCGTATTTATTGTATCAAATTTGGTACAATGAATACGAATTAACGAATAATCTAACGTATTAATCGTTTAAATCATCGTGCAGATTACTTTAAGAGGCAGGTCCAACATTAAACCTTTGATTTGTAAAATGATTGGTGGTTGGCTCTCATCGTTCAAGGGCTGGCTACTGGTTCTAATAGAGTGCTGTGTGAAGCTTAGTAAGTGATGAAACGGATAAAATATTAATCATAGATAGAAAAATACTTCCAAAATATTTTTAAGAAAGCACACTGGCATAATAACACACCGCAGGAGTGTCAAAATTAGGCAAACGTCTGTGTGTCTGCATGTATTTTAAATTCAGACCTGATGTTATAATTAGGGGAGGGATGTCTTGATTTATTAATGATTAGTGATGATAGGCCAGGAGAGCTCAAACAAGCGTAAATTTTTGCAGACGTAATAGTTGAACCATCCCATAATCTGCATTATATTGTAATCAAACATACCAAAATTCATACATTTTTATACCAATTTTGTAAAATAAAAACAAATTATAAATAGTAAACTAAATTTAGAACTTTCCCACATATAGCTGAAGCATACAAATAAGGTTAATTAACTTTTGGAGCCATTCTGTAGACTACATCCATGCGACCAAAAGTCAGTTAACCGTGTTTTGTATATCTATCTACACATCTGAATATAAATCGTAAATTAAGCTTACAACAACGTGGGTTTCTTTTTTTACAAAATTAATACAGAATTTTACTATTTAGGTACAAAACAATTTGGGCTATAAAATGGTTAAGAGACTTTTGGGCCAATCTGTATTTCAGTCTTGAAGTAAATCAACCTATTCGATTACAACTGACCGAATTTAATTCTTTTTTAAAAAAATTTAACAGAAATAAACTGAAAAAAGGAGCAAGAACTATGATTATTACAATATATTCAATTATTTATCTAATTTATTTATAATAATATTCAATTTTTTCCCTCTAATATTTGCTCTGTTGCGAACTTAAAATCGTTTGAAATTAATGACAGCATTATTAATTTTATAACCTTGATTATAACCTTGCTAATTTAATTTATTTTCAGCAAACCTTGCTTACAATAAACGATTTAGCAATTGCATTATTCACAATTGTATATAAAGTATTAATATAAATTATATATATCAATATATAGTTAATTTTATAAGTTTCTGTAGGAATTAATACATTTACAATGTTTATTTTTATCTGCGAATTAGTCAAAATGATATTTTACACGCCCCAATAACCGAGAAAATATGTGGATAAACAAGGAAAAGAAATGCAAAAATACTGTTCTGAGAAATAAACAAGTACTTTTTCTGATTTGAAAGTACTAAAATTCGTCCTTCAAAGTTACGAAAAACATTGAAATTTTCGCAATAATTTTCTGAGAATAAAGTAAATTGTCTTCTGAAAATTTATAGTTAAGCACAAACAATTCGTGTATCTACTACATTTTAATTCGTATTTATTATATAATACTGTATATACTAAATTTCAGTGAAGAGAAATCTTTTTTATACGATTATTTTACTAAACTCACACTAATTTGAATAATTAAATATTGAAAATATACTTACCTTGATTTATAAATGCGATACAAAGGCAAGATAATCCACCAACTCCCAAGGTTATAAACATAGACCACATTCTACCTACTTTCTCCATGACTATCCAAGAGAATACAATGCCAGGTACCTCTACAGCAGAGGATATAGCACATCCTAAATACAGGTTGATATCGAGAAGAGAAACTCCAAATGAAAATACTGGATAACAAAAACACATCACGGCCCAATCGAAAGTGAGAATAATGAAGTTTTTTCTCATAACAGGATATTTAAGAAGATCTAAATACGATGGTTCAGCCATTTCGTATTCCTGTATGAATAAGGATTGTTTTAATTATAATAATTAAAAATTCAAACTGCTGTTAGGGTTTATATTAGAAAAATATGAGATTAACCACTATTATTTTGCATAGCTTCTTAGTCTAATCTATGTAAAAACGTATGCGGGGTGGTCCTGAGAATGTGAGGAATTTAAAATTGATTCAAGGGTATCTAGAAGAGATCAGGAGGAGCAAATGTCTATCCTGAGATTTGTTTTTTCTTTCAGTAGTCTTCTTTGAATCTTTTTTCAAATAATTTTATAAGGAAAATTGTATTTTTGTATGAATAAATTTACTTTAATAGTCGTTACAATGCGACAAGATGGCCCCTGCAATTTTCCTTCAAGCCGTACACGGATGGTGAATTATTTGGAAGATCTTTTAGAATAATTGGAGTATTCTCTTTATATGTGTTTATTATTTACTTTCATAAAAATAGAGGAAGATAGGGTACAAGTATTTAAAAACACCTGTTTAAGGAACAATTTTAATGAATCAATTGGTTGATTACTTGATCATATTTTGCCTCGAGACAAAATTCTGCTCTTTCATTTGATTACTGTTGAAGCCTTTAAAGCACGGTCTCTAAACGTAGCACTGATCTGGTTATTAATGACACCAGCTCATTGAACTGTAAGAAATTTGATACCACGAAACGTTTTGACATTTACGAGTAAATAAGAATATTATCATTTAATTTTTGCACTTACTCTAACCTTTTTGCTCTTGTAACATAAATGAGTCTTCAAGAAATTCGGTCCGATATTTCTCTTATTATACTTTGCTATTTTCTGCACAATTTCTTCAGCTTCTTCATAACGATCCTGACTGACTAACCATCTTGGAGACTCTGGAACAAAACTAATAACAAAATACAGAATATTACAAGATAGAAATTAAGGTAATGTATATGATAATATGCATATTATATAGCTTACAAAAAATAGATAAAGAGCAAAAGAAGAGGAAACGAAGTGGCTAGAGATATAGGAAACCATTCCTGCAAACTGTATGCAATTCCAGAAGTTATAACTAACCCAACAGAAAAGCTTGCGCTACTTAGCATCCCATCTCTTGTTCGTTTCTCCACAGATATAATTTCCATAGCTAGAATAAACGGTTATTTTTATTCATACTAAGAACAAATTTATTGAATTTTTTAAAAATCAGATAATGATTAAAGTTACCTATTACAAACGGTAACTGGAAGAATGCAGGAAATGCCATGCCACTTAAGAAACGATACACAATATATGCTATGTAATTTGAAGGAAAACATGATATTATACTTATTGCTGCGTAAAAAGTACAGCTGGAAATAAAGCCTATTCTTCTACCCCATCTGCAATAAATGAAACTGTTATTATAATATTGATATATATGCGTAGTAAATATATATATAATATTAAATTGCAATTTATACCTTAAAACAGTTATATAATAATTGTGTAAGATAAAACGATTATAAACTTCTACATCTTCGATGATGCATGTTTTTACAGAATTATATAAAACCTATAAATCATATATTCTTTTTATGCATAAGTTGTGTGCATTTATACATATTATATTAAGACAGTCTTATAACATAAGTTTACTCTTATATAATTAGGTAGTTAATATGATTTCCGGATGATCTTAATAAAATACCCCTATTCAACGCTGTCTACGGAGATATTTAGCGGTCCAAATGCAACCAAAATTATGGTGACATTTCAGGTTAAAAGATTAGCACCAAAACTCGCCACTAAATCACTTTTGGCGCTGTGAGTAACCAGCTTTTTATTTGACAAAACATTCGTGCTATACAGGGATCTTAGAAATGCAGACTTTAATACGATCTCAATTATAAAGGTGTAAAAACTGTAGGAAATAAACAGTTCGTTCAACAGTTGACTCTTAAGAATTTTAATTTAGTTTTGTTTTATGTGTAACATTATTATTTTACCGCATCATTTGCATTATTATTCTCTACGTTAAAGAAATAAAAATTTTATTAACAACGTAAAAGAATTAAATCTACAGAGACTTATTTTCTTTAAACGGGAAACGACGTCACCAATTTTAATCTCTTGTTTTATAAGCTTTAAACGCGCGGAATTATAATAGTATTAATAACGTTATTAATTAACATAACTGCATAATTATATTTTTACCTAATGACTACAAGCTGTTTATTATGACGTAATATAGTTTTTAAGGTCGTAACTAATTACAATGTTACGTGATAAAGATTTGAAATTTCATGCGTGAATAAAACATAAGACATGGTAAAAGATGTGCAATCGTTCAAACATACAAAGACAAATATTTGAAATTAGTAATAATAAATGCAGCTGAATCAAGAACAAAGTAAAGTTTATCACAAGTAGTTTCAATGTATGAAGTAAAAAGTATTCTTTGTTTGTAGAAGAAATAAAATGAAGAAGAAGAAGCCAAAGAGAGAGCAAAAACTGAGAACAGGGAAGCAACAAGGAGCAAAAAATAAATAAACAAGGAGTAGCAGAGTAGCATGATAAACAGAGCATGAACTTAATGCTTCTCTTAAATTAAACAGGCGATTCCTTTTATAAGATAAATTAATTAACTTAATTAATAAAGAACATATTAGACATTGATTTTTAAGTATTATTTATATGTATTTTTAGTCACTAAGCTGGCTAGAAAGTAAGAAAATAGGCTTAGGTTAGCTAAATTATCTTTTATGTCAAATTTTGTAACAGTAAATATGTCGAAAATTCACAAGAGATTGAGTTAAATAAATTAGCTTTTTAAATAAGCAAAAAATATAAAAATACATTAATAAATTGATAATAAAATATTAGTTAAAGTATACTTTAATAAAATTATAAAGGAAAACATCCGCCGACTTTAAAAATTACGAGTATTTTTTTATGTTGAAATTTAAACTGCTTATAAACTGAAAACAACTAAAGTCATATTTTAAAGCTTAAATACTGAAAATCATAGAAATATTTCAAAAAAGTATTATAGTAATAACTTAGATCTTACTTATCTCCAACGTAACCGAACCAAAGACTTCCAACAATTCCTCCAACATAATAAAGCGAAAGTGCTACAGTTGGCATCCAATCTTTATCACACACGACATTAAACTATTAAAATAATAAAATAGAAGGCATTAATAATTAAAATTCTTTACGTAAAAAGTAATAATAATATTACTATTATTTTTTTAATTTACCTTTTCTATCAAAGTGGTACGAAAGACAGAATGGTCGTAACTCCAACCGTGTTGACAATTTACCTTGGGCCAGTTTTCGTTGGGTACGAAAGAACGATTTAGTAGTAATTGTGTATAATTTACATCATACATCTGACATTTGCTATGAGTTTCGACTCCATCCAACGTTTCTAAAGGCAAGCTTAAATTTTTCTGTAAATCCAAAGGTAGATGCGATAACTCCGGAACGAAGCACCAGTAATCCGGAGTACCGGATACGTATACAAAATTAAAATAACCGAATGCAGAGGCTATAAGACTCGGTACCATGACAAACCAAAATATAACCTTTTGATATACCCCATAACCGTCCAAAAGTGGTAAAATTTCGTCGAAATCCATCGTTTGATTCTGTAGACATTTACGGCTTTGAGTGAAGTATGAAGTAACGTAAGTTACATATGCAGTGTAATGGTCGAATGGTTACGTCATCTTGCCATTCATTATTAAAACTGCAAGTCTTAGACTATACTCTTATATAATTTTAATCATTAACTTTCGTTGGGAAATCAAAAGATAAAATAAAACTTGAAAAGAAACTTATAAATTTAAATAATAATAATAATAATAATCTTAGCTTTGAGCCGTATATTTTATTAACTCTAATAATTAGTTGCATATAGGCTTATATACAGGCTGACTCGAAAGTCAGTTAACCGAATGGTTCAAACTGGTTTGTATCAGCTACATCTATATTATTTGGCCTTCATTGGTTTTCATTGGAAGTGATTGAAATCGCGAGTATAACATGCAACCGATTACATTAATAACTTATTCAGTTATTGACATAAATGTGGGCAGTGGATTCGAATACGGACCATTACGATGGAAGGATAACACAGATTAAAAGATATAAACATCACCAATCAGAATAGAGAATAGTGGCCGAAGCGCTGCCTAACAGACATTTCGCGCACTAACAATTACAGTCTAATACTGTAGAGCAGCGTTTCTCAAAGTGGGCGATAACGCCCCCTTGTGGGCGCTGGAGGCTTTCAGGGGGGCAGTAGAAGGCTCAAAGAGAATTGGGGGGCGTTAAGGAAATATAGAGGGGCGACGGCAGACAAATTCTATATATAAAAATTCGACGGAATATATATAAAATGTTGACATTTTATATATTTTTTATTTTTTATTGAAGGTCACAACTTGAATATTTCTAACACATTGACTTTTATTTTAGCTCAGCGTTTCTCAAAGTAAGCAATAACGCCCCCTTCTGGCGCGATGAATAGATCTATGATAGAGGCAGGGTATTGAACGGTGACCAAAGGCAAAATTGGGGCTGATAAGAGGAAACATTGCGTTTAATGGTTTCCAGATGATGAGAACAATGTACAGTAAGGGCACAAAGTGTGAGATTCATAGAAAAGTTTTCCTAAGAATATTTCCAATCCTTTTCTCACACAAGAGAAAATGGGTTAGGGGGCGTTGGGTATAACTTTATGGAACAAAGGGGGCGGTGGATCGAAAAAGTTTGAGAATCACTGCTGTAGAGGAAAAGGTGGTATTATGAAACCCTGTAGGTATTATGGAACCCCTCCATTTCAAACTGATAATAAAGACGAACTGTAGTGGATTGTGGCTGAACTGCACTAGGAAGACATCCACAGCAAGGGGGAAAACCTGTTTCACTTCAGTTAAACGGTTGTCCGTAGTGAATCAGCATATTTGTGTTTTTCGAAATTCGAAAGTTTTGAATGGTAAGTGAATTTAATTGCTGTTTTTCTAAAATATAAATCGTGTAGTTGTAGGTTCACTGGTACATGTATTCCGTTCCAGAGACTTACAGGTACATATTAATCTGTGTGATGTTCACGTTTTTAAAAGTTTGATCTTGACAGACATAAGTTAATTCAAGATGGCGATGCGTGAAATACGAACCCCATTGGTGCTTTAAATATGGAACCCAACTCCTCTGGGAACCCAACTCCTCTGAACTCTCTCTTTGCAAGCAGACATTCGTCCAAAGCAATGTGTGAAAAAGACACTAGGTAGAAAGCCTAGCGTCTGAGAATATCGAAAGAGTTGCTGGAATATATATTGTTGATGGAGGTCATATTTTTTTTAATTAAGAAAGCATTTTTTCAATAAAATACATTGGAGTAAATAATTTTGTAATTATTTAACATTATTTGTACTTTCCTATTTGTTTTTGGATACATTAAAGCATTTTTTGAAAACACAGTAAGGTTCCATATTACCACCCGGTTTTCCCTAAGCCTACTTTCTGACTTTTTGTACAGAAGCCTTCAAAAACCATACTTATAGTTACACTAGNTATTTAACATTATTTGTACTTTCCTATTTGTTTTTGGATACATTAAAGCATTTTTTGAAAACACAGTAAGGTTCCATATTACCACCCGGTTTTCCCTAAGCCTACTTTCTGACTTTTTGTACAGAAGCCTTCAAAAACCATACTTATAGTTACACTAGTGAAAAAACCAATTACGAACATTTAGTTTAATAGTTACCAGTACTTTTCGCACAAAAACTGTGGGTGTAGTTATGATAACTTGTTTACAATTCACTATAATGTAATTGGGGTTCCATAATACCACCTTCTCCTCTATTCTGAAATAAGTGTATATTCAAACTACGATAGACACTTTAGAACAGCGGTTTCCAACCTTTTTTCATCAGCGTACCCCGTGGCATTTCCAACTTCCCAACGAGCAACGCATGCGCAAATCTCACACTGCCTGTTTATAGAGAGTGTCGCCATTTTGAATTTTATTTTGACTCGGTTCTCAGTTTCCCGAGTACCTACAAGTCTGTTTTTTATGCGCGCTTTGGGAACCTAATACTTTGTGCCAAATTGCAAATTTTGACATGTACTCCTTCATATCTCTAAGCTAGTAACACAGCAGGCAGTACGATTTTATAAACAAGACATAGTCTTATCAATAAAAAAATAATAAAAATACTGAATAAATAATGAAAAAAAATTATCGCTTGTAGAGAAAATCTGGAGAAACTAGTCATCTCCTTTTCCTTACTAACAATAAAAAATACTTTTTTATAAACAAAAGAATACTTTTTCAAATAACTCGTGGGGATATTGTTGAGAGATAATAAGAATAACAGTAACACACCCCACCATCAAAAGTGTGTAGCATAATCACTAATCACACATAATGGTATCCCCACTACCATTAACCGACTGAGCAACATTTATTGATCTGTTGCATTGTACAATCGGCAGCATACGTTTTTATTTCTATTTTTGCATTTTGAAATGTATAATAAAGTTTGTGGTTGTTGCAAGGAACATTTTTTACCTAATAATTTTTTAATACTATTAATTTATGATACATAATATATTATTTTTTCTGCCATAATAAGTAACTTTTTCTGTACCCCTAAACAACCTATCGCATATCCCCAGGGGGACTCATACCCGGGTTGGGAATCGCTGCTTTAGAACATAGGGAATTGGTCTCTTGTTACCGAAATCAGTTATGTCGGAGTCTGTAAAATCGAGGGTCAAAACATTTAGATTCAAATAAATGAGCTATTTTTTATAAGGAGATAATAATTCCATATTAGCATACCTAGTTAATTAGCCATTATTCTCAAATTAGAGACGTAAATAAAAAAATAAAGATGGTATGAAGATATGCAGTTATACTTTAGTCTCATTCTACTATTCATAGGGATACATTAAAAACCGTAAAGTCAATCCGTAAATTAATGTATCCGAAATTTACTATTATACATGAATATGATTTATGGGTGGTATAAAAGCCTATATATATATATATACACTGTATACTGATAGTTATTGCACTTTAATTAACGATATTATACTTTAATCAAAATTCTAATAGAAGACAGCATTTTAATCATTGAAGGCCCACCAGTAGCCAAGCGGTTCTGTTCCCCAAACACTGGAAGTTCGGTCGTAGGTTCACATCTCGCCAAGATAGGCTAGCTACGTAAGTTTTCCGGATTTTCTCCACGTCTGAAACTCCTGAATAGGGACCAGTTATTCTTAAAAAGACCTCCAGGAAGGCATCCTCTAGGTAGTTCGTCCAAGTGTGTTGCATTGCCAAGACATACAATCATCATTGAAGAGAGCCAATGAGGTCTTTTTTTAAGTACCATTGATTTGACCAGTCCAACAATGAGAGCTCCTGGATGGTAAAGACAAGGCTAACTATAAATCCAAAACGAGCCGCCCATGAAAAATGGCTAAAGCTTGCTCGGGTCTCATGGAGCCGACAGTGTTATCAGTCAATTTTTCAGGCAGAGGTTATGCTCTTCATCAGACAATCTTATAGACCTGGCCGAACTCCTAATGATCCCGAATTGAAAGGATTTTTATTATCTATAATAATTTAATGAAAAGTCTCAAAATCCGAATTTCTTTGGCAGAAAAGGTTAATATTTGGGAGGGCAGTATGCAAGATACTACCCACGTGGCGAGTTGTCGTATATATATAAACCAAGAATCTTATTTAAAACGACAATCAAGAATTATTATTCAGTAATAATAATAGTGATCACTCTTTGAACTTGGAATATTTTTATCGAATGCAAATAAGATTTATCTAGAGACCAATTTGTGAGCCGCCGGGGAGGTCGGAAACCGTCGATTCTCCCTTTTCAGCTACAGGTTCGGCTAAACCTACTCACGTGTCAAGATGGCTAAATTTCGAATGCGGTCCCGAAGGGTCGGGATTTTTGTTGTCAGGTCGAGTGGAGGAGGTGAGAGGGGTCGTCGACGCGGCGTAGGCGATATACGAGTAGACAACACCATTTAACAATGAGAACAACAATTTATTAGATAAACGAAAAGAAAATAATTTAAAGAATACAAAAATCTAACATCGGAGAAGTGAATTTAGTTCACTAGCTCCTAACTCGCGGAGAGAGAGTTTACATTAATTGTTTCATACCTCTAGTTTACTTCCACGTAGGCACAGAGTTCGAAGCACAAATTTAAAGTTAAAGTTTCCCGGAGACTTAATCCTTTTAGATCCTTTTAGATCTTAGATGTGAGACTCCCCCGAGGACGGGGAAAGAAGTCGCTTTTATAGCTTCGGACTGGGAAAATCGGTCATGTGATCACCTATTGTGAGAGGTAGGGTTGGTCTTGCAGGTGTGGAGGTTAAAGTTGTTCCCGGGACCAAAACAAAATGACGAATTCGGACTTTATAAACTTTTTGTCTTGCAGCAGAGGAATGTCATTGTTCGAGGGTTGAATGTTTATATTAACGATGAAAGTTATAAGTTTCGATCGATATTTGATTCTTTTTTCTGACAATGTTATTTTAACGAGGAGGCGACAAATTTATTTTTAATACGTCGAAAATTTAGGAGGAAAATTAACAAATCTGGGCTTATTCTGAGGTCGGATCTCACAAATTTCATAGAAATATACTGTTGTGGCCCACATTATACTACAGATCAGGGATGTCAGCAGACAATGGAAAAAGTGTGTTAGCTAAACTTACCGTTTAGCTAACACACTTTACCGTAAAAGGTCGTACTTCGGTGCAATCTACCGAAGTTGTATGATTATTTTGTGGGAAAAGTTGTGTAAACGTACAATGTAACAAGACTTATAGTAAATCCCGGAAAATTTGGGAACGTTTTTTTCGAAAAACTGTCAGACAACTCCACTTTCATCCCCTATTAGTTCGAGTTAGCGGCGTTTAATGTNGTCGGAAGGAAGGCGTAACATGTCACACACGCCCTTAATTACTATTACAAAATTATTATTATTATTATTATGTATTATACTAATAAATTTGTTAAAAGGATGCTGGTAATAGTTCAAAGTTATGATGAACTGAACCGTAGTTTAGTCAGCTTGTTTTGTCTGGTGGTATGATTTGCAAAATGGCAACTCATGTTGGGCTATATGTGTATTTTTTTTTAACGTTTATGAAATTATAATTACGTCATTCAACATTTTTACACATAATCAATCTAACTTACTAACTCAGCACACCTTCAGAACACTTCGTTAATTCGTATTTATTGTATCAAATTTGGTACAATGAATACGAATTAACGAATAATCTAACGTATTAATCGTTTAAATCATCGTGCAGATTACTTTAAGAGGCAGGTCCAACATTAAACCTTTGATTTGTAAAATGATTGGTGGTTGGCTCTCATCGTTCAAGGGCTGGCTACTGGTTCTAATAGAGTGCTGTGTGAAGCTTAGTAAGTGATGAAACGGATAAAATATTAATCATAGATAGAAAAATACTTCCAAAATATTTTTAAGAAAGCACACTGGCATAATAACACACCGCAGGAGTGTCAAAATTAGGCAAACGTCTGTGTGTCTGCATGTATTTTAAATTCAGACCTGATGTTATAATTAGGGGAGGGATGTCTTGATTTATTAATGATTAGTGATGATAGGCCAGGAGAGCTCAAACAAGCGTAAATTTTTGCAGACGTAATAGTTGAACCATCCCATAATCTGCATTATATTGTAATCAAACATACCAAAATTCATACATTTTTATACCAATTTTGTAAAATAAAAACAAATTATAAATAGTAAACTAAATTTAGAACTTTCCCACATATAGCTGAAGCATACAAATAAGGTTAATTAACTTTTGGAGCCATTCTGTAGACTACATCCATGCGACCAAAAGTCAGTTAACCGTGTTTTGTATATCTATCTACACATCTGAATATAAATCGTAAATTAAGCTTACAACAACGTGGGTTTCTTTTTTTACAAAATTAATACAGAATTTTACTATTTAGGTACAAAACAATTTGGGCTATAAAATGGTTAAGAGACTTTTGGGCCAATCTGTATTTCAGTCTTGAAGTAAATCAACCTATTCGATTACAACTGACCGAATTTAATTCTTTTTTAAAAAAATTTAACAGAAATAAACTGAAAAAAGGAGCAAGAACTATGATTATTACAATATATTCAATTATTTATCTAATTTATTTATAATAATATTCAATTTTTTCCCTCTAATATTTGCTCTGTTGCGAACTTAAAATCGTTTGAAATTAATGACAGCATTATTAATTTTATAACCTTGATTATAACCTTGCTAATTTAATTTATTTTCAGCAAACCTTGCTTACAATAAACGATTTAGCAATTGCATTATTCACAATTGTATATAAAGTATTAATATAAATTATATATATCAATATATAGTTAATTTTATAAGTTTCTGTAGGAATTAATACATTTACAATGTTTATTTTTATCTGCGAATTAGTCAAAATGATATTTTACACGCCCCAATAACCGAGAAAATATGTGGATAAACAAGGAAAAGAAATGCAAAAATACTGTTCTGAGAAATAAACAAGTACTTTTTCTGATTTGAAAGTACTAAAATTCGTCCTTCAAAGTTACGAAAAACATTGAAATTTTCGCAATAATTTTCTGAGAATAAAGTAAATTGTCTTCTGAAAATTTATAGTTAAGCACAAACAATTCGTGTATCTACTACATTTTAATTCGTATTTATTATATAATACTGTATATACTAAATTTCAGTGAAGAGAAATCTTTTTTATACGATTATTTTACTAAACTCACACTAATTTGAATAATTAAATATTGAAAATATACTTACCTTGATTTATAAATGCGATACAAAGGCAAGATAATCCACCAACTCCCAAGGTTATAAACATAGACCACATTCTACCTACTTTCTCCATGACTATCCAAGAGAATACAATGCCAGGTACCTCTACAGCAGAGGATATAGCACATCCTAAATACAGGTTGATATCGAGAAGAGAAACTCCAAATGAAAATACTGGATAACAAAAACACATCACGGCCCAATCGAAAGTGAGAATAATGAAGTTTTTTCTCATAACAGGATATTTAAGAAGATCTAAATACGATGGTTCAGCCATTTCGTATTCCTGTATGAATAAGGATTGTTTTAATTATAATAATTAAAAATTCAAACTGCTGTTAGGGTTTATATTAGAAAAATATGAGATTAACCACTATTATTTTGCATAGCTTCTTAGTCTAATCTATGTAAAAACGTATGCGGGGTGGTCCTGAGAATGTGAGGAATTTAAAATTGATTCAAGGGTATCTAGAAGAGATCAGGAGGAGCAAATGTCTATCCTGAGATTTGTTTTTTCTTTCAGTAGTCTTCTTTGAATCTTTTTTCAAATAATTTTATAAGGAAAATTGTATTTTTGTATGAATAAATTTACTTTAATAGTCGTTACAATGCGACAAGATGGCCCCTGCAATTTTCCTTCAAGCCGTACACGGATGGTGAATTATTTGGAAGATCTTTTAGAATAATTGGAGTATTCTCTTTATATGTGTTTATTATTTACTTTCATAAAAATAGAGGAAGATAGGGTACAAGTATTTAAAAACACCTGTTTAAGGAACAATTTTAATGAATCAATTGGTTGATTACTTGATCATATTTTGCCTCGAGACAAAATTCTGCTCTTTCATTTGATTACTGTTGAAGCCTTTAAAGCACGGTCTCTAAACGTAGCACTGATCTGGTTATTAATGACACCAGCTCATTGAACTGTAAGAAATTTGATACCACGAAACGTTTTGACATTTACGAGTAAATAAGAATATTATCATTTAATTTTTGCACTTACTCTAACCTTTTTGCTCTTGTAACATAAATGAGTCTTCAAGAAATTCGGTCCGATATTTCTCTTATTATACTTTGCTATTTTCTGCACAATTTCTTCAGCTTCTTCATAACGATCCTGACTGACTAACCATCTTGGAGACTCTGGAACAAAACTAATAACAAAATACAGAATATTACAAGATAGAAATTAAGGTAATGTATATGATAATATGCATATTATATAGCTTACAAAAAATAGATAAAGAGCAAAAGAAGAGGAAACGAAGTGGCTAGAGATATAGGAAACCATTCCTGCAAACTGTATGCAATTCCAGAAGTTATAACTAACCCAACAGAAAAGCTTGCGCTACTTAGCATCCCATCTCTTGTTCGTTTCTCCACAGATATAATTTCCATAGCTAGAATAAACGGTTATTTTTATTCATACTAAGAACAAATTTATTGAATTTTTTAAAAATCAGATAATGATTAAAGTTACCTATTACAAACGGTAACTGGAAGAATGCAGGAAATGCCATGCCACTTAAGAAACGATACACAATATATGCTATGTAATTTGAAGGAAAACATGATATTATACTTATTGCTGCGTAAAAAGTACAGCTGGAAATAAAGCCTATTCTTCTACCCCATCTGCAATAAATGAAACTGTTATTATAATATTGATATATATGCGTAGTAAATATATATATAATATTAAATTGCAATTTATACCTTAAAACAGTTATATAATAATTGTGTAAGATAAAACGATTATAAACTTCTACATCTTCGATGATGCATGTTTTTACAGAATTATATAAAACCTATAAATCATATATTCTTTTTATGCATAAGTTGTGTGCATTTATACATATTATATTAAGACAGTCTTATAACATAAGTTTACTCTTATATAATTAGGTAGTTAATATGATTTCCGGATGATCTTAATAAAATACCCCTATTCAACGCTGTCTACGGAGATATTTAGCGGTCCAAATGCAACCAAAATTATGGTGACATTTCAGGTTAAAAGATTAGCACCAAAACTCGCCACTAAATCACTTTTGGCGCTGTGAGTAACCAGCTTTTTATTTGACAAAACACTCGTGCTATACAGGGATCTTAGAAATGCAGATTTTAATACGATCTCAATTATAAAGGTGTAAAAACTGTAGGAAATAAACAGTTCGTTCAACAGTTGACTCTTAAGAATTTTAATTTAGTTTTGTTTTATGTGTAACATTATTATTTTACCGCATCATTTGCATTATTATTCTCTACGTTAAAGAAATAAAAATTTTATTAACAACGTAAAAGAATTAAATCTACAGAGACTTATTTTCTTTAAACGGGAAACGACGTCACCAATTTTAATCTCTTGTTTTATAAGCTTTAAACGCGCGGAATTATAATAGTATTAATAACGTTATTAATTAACATAACTGCATAATTATATTTTTACCTAATGACTACAAGCTGTTTATTATGACGTAATATAGTTTTTAAGGTCGTAACTAATTACAATGTTACGTGATAAAGATTTGAAATTTCATGCGTGAATAAAACATAAGACATGGTAAAAGATGTGCAATCGTTCAAACATACAAAGACAAATATTTGAAATTAGTAATAATAAATGCAGCTGAATCAAGAACAAAGTAAAGTTTATCACAAGTAGTTTCAATGTATGAAGTAAAAAGTATTCTTTGTTTGTAGAAGAAATAAAATGAAGAAGAAGAAGCCAAAGAGAGAGCAAAAACTGAGAACAGGGAAGCAACAAGGAGCAAAAAATAAATAAACAAGGAGTAGCAGAGTAGCATGATAAACAGAGCATGAACTTAATGCTTCTCTTAAATTAAACAGGCGATTCCTTTTATAAGATAAATTAATTAACTTAATTAATAAAGAACATATTAGACATTGATTTTTAAGTATTATTTATATGTATTTTTAGTCACTAAGCTGGCTAGAAAGTAAGAAAATAGGCTTAGGTTAGCTAAATTATCTTTTATGTCAAATTTTGTAACAGTAAATATGTCGAAAATTCACAAGAGATTGAGTTAAATAAATTAGCTTTTTAAATAAGCAAAAAATATAAAAATACATTAATAAATTGATAATAAAATATTAGTTAAAGTATACTTTAATAAAATTATAAAGGAAAACATCCGCCGACTTTAAAAATTACGAGTATTTTTTTATGTTGAAATTTAAACTGCTTATAAACTGAAAACAACTAAAGTCATATTTTAAAGCTTAAATACTGAAAATCATAGAAATATTTCAAAAAAGTATTATAGTAATAACTTAGATCTTACTTATCTCCAACGTAACCGAACCAAAGACTTCCAACAATTCCTCCAACATAATAAAGCGAAAGTGCTACAGTTGGCATCCAATCTTTATCACACACGACATTAAACTATTAAAATAATAAAATAGAAGGCATTAATAATTAAAATTCTTTACGTAAAAAGTAATAATAATATTACTATTATTTTTTTAATTTACCTTTTCTATCAAAGTGGTACGAAAGACAGAATGGTCGTAACTCCAACCGTGTTGACAATTTACCTTGGGCCAGTTTTCGTTGGGTACGAAAGAACGATTTAGTAGTAATTGTGTATAATTTACATCATACATCTGACATTTGCTATGAGTTTCGACTCCATCCAACGTTTCTAAAGGCAAGCTTAAATTTTTCTGTAAATCCAAAGGTAGATGCGATAACTCCGGAACGAAGCACCAGTAATCCGGAGTACCGGATACGTATACAAAATTAAAATAACCGAATGCAGAGGCTATAAGACTCGGTACCATGACAAACCAAAATATAACCTTTTGATATACCCCATAACCGTCCAAAAGTGGTAAAATTTCGTCGAAATCCATCGTTTGATTCTGTAGACATTTACGGCTTTGAGTGAAGTATGAAGTAACGTAAGTTACATATGCAGTGTAATGGTCGAATGGTTACGTCATCTTGCCATTCATTATTAAAACTGCAAGTCTTAGACTATACTCTTATATAATTTTAATCATTAACTTTCGTTGGGAAATCAAAAGATAAAATAAAACTTGAAAAGAAACTTATAAATTTAAATAATAATAATAATAATAATCTTAGCTTTGAGCCGTATATTTTATTAACTCTAATAATTAGTTGCATATAGGCTTATATACAGGCTGACTCGAAAGTCAGTTAACCGAATGGTTCAAACTGGTTTGTATCAGCTACATCTATATTATTTGGCCTTCATTGGTTTTCATTGGAAGTGATTGAAATCGCGAGTATAACATGCAACCGATTACATTAATAACTTATTCAGTTATTGACATAAATGTGGGCAGTGGATTCGAATACGGACCATTACGATGGAAGGATAACACAGATTAAAAGATATAAACATCACCAATCAGAATAGAGAATAGTGGCCGAAGCGCTGCCTAACAGACATTTCGCGCACTAACAATTACAGTCTAATACTGTAGAGCAGCGTTTCTCAAAGTGGGCGATAACGCCCCCTTGTGGGCGCTGGAGGCTTTCAGGGGGGCAGTAGAAGGCTCAAAGAGAATTGGGGGGCGTTAAGGAAATATAGAGGGGCGACGGCAGACAAATTCTATATATAAAAATTCGACGGAATATATATAAAATGTTGACATTTTATATATTTTTTATTTTTTATTGAAGGTCACAACTTGAATATTTCTAACACATTGACTTTTATTTTAGCTCAGCGTTTCTCAAAGTAAGCAATAACGCCCCCTTCTGGCGCGATGAATAGATCTATGATAGAGGCAGGGTATTGAA